CGGAAAGAATTTACGGAACATTAATTAACGAATGGAGGCGTAACACTACAATACCGACACATGATTAAATCAAAACCAGCACAAGAAATCGTTTCACAGACGTTCTTGGGAATTATCTGCTTCCAGTAAACGTGAAGGTCGCGGGATCTAAGCCCTTCATCCAATATGCTCACTCTTTCAGCCGTGAGGGTGTTATAATGCTACCGTCAATCCCACTATTTTGTTGGTAAAGGGTTGGCAGTGGGTAGTGTTGACTAGCTACCTTCCTTCTAGTCTATCACTTTAAAATTAGGACAGCTATCGCAGCCAGTCCTCGAGTAGCTTTTCGCGAAATTCAAAAACATTCAAGAATCTAGCAACCAAAAACATTTAGATTTAGTCTACTAACCTATTATTTATGTATTTAAAAAAATTCATTTTCTGTTAGGGCAATGCTTAGCGCTTTGAAAAAAATCCTAATTTTACTAGAAACTAAAATATTTATATTAGTTGTTTCAGAGAACAACTACTGATTGTCATCAGGAACTTTCTCTCTTATTAATATACTTAACTTTTTGAAGTGTTATAAAACAACCAGAATTATGTACTATAGAGGCGCGTAGTAGACCTACTTATTACAGGACGTCATGAACTTTATAAAATTAAAGTATGTGGCAATCAGGATCTTCACACCAAAAAAAAAATGTCATTACACTACATTTAAATTGGAGAAACAAGCAATTTTTCAAAGTTTACATAAACTACTATTTAAAAAAATATATTTGCACTGTAATGTTAACTTTCAGCAAATCACAATCGTTCAATATTTTTAGCCTTATAAATGATTCACTTTTTTTTTCTTCTTAGCTGTTTACACTGGGTGATGTAACAAGTAGAAAACATAAATTTACTTACAATTACTCATGATGTAATACATGGACCACTCCGGGTATAAAAACTAGGTTTTTTCGATAATATTGGCTTCAGTAGTACTACAAAAAATTTATACCGTTAATAATGGCTCCGATAATGGTGAGAGCACTGATAGAAATTAAAAATACCTTCTGATGAAAGCACGCTACCTACATAGTTAAAAATTAGGACAATGAATAATGTAAATAACTTAATATATCAATCTTACTAGGTGTGTGCAGTCATAAAATAAAAACAGAGAATAAAATGCATTAATTTATCAGTTGGGTACCTTCACTATTATCGATATTTGGCGCTAATAATAACGCAAGTTGATAAATATTTAATAGTAAGGATCGGCTGTAACAGGTAGACAATTAATAAAAGTTTTATATTAATTTTACTGTCAATACAAACGCCTGTCTCACGCTAACTTTATACCCTCTGCTGTCTCTTAATAACCCGAAAACTGTGCCCTCAGATACAGACTCTGTATGATAATCAACTTTAATATAAAACAAACGTCTACTAAATTCGAAAAAGTAGACCTTTAAAAAAATATTCACAATTTTGCAGCGAAAAAAAAATAATAAAAGCGACAGAACTACGAGGAGAAGTGAGTTCTTATAAATCCAAACAGCTCGAAGTAAGAAAAATATAGAAGTGTCAGAGTAAATGTTTACTAGAAATTACGACCTTTTGTTCATGTACTGTGATATAAATGTCTACTGATATGTAATGGTTCAAGGAATCCGCCAGGGACGGTGTATCAATCATGCCTTGGGCGACACAATACCTAAAGCCAGTTCTTCCAGTAATAATAAAAAGATAGAGACAGAATTTTTACGTTGAGATCACAAACATACAATTTTAACTTTTTTCGGGGGTGGGGGAGGGGGTACGTTGCCCCTTTCCCTATTTGTATTACTGGTATCATAGTTTTTCCTGGATTCGTCTAGACAACATCTTAATGTGTCTCGTCTGAATTGCAATATTTCAATTTATACATTAAGGGGAAAATAAATAAAAGGATAATTTTATAACAGATAATTTTGTTCATAATGTCATGACCAATTACATAAATATTTTTTGGGGGAGGGGGTTCAGGGCCGTATATAAGGAAGGGGGAATAGGTGCAGTTGCCCCAGTCCCCCAACTAAGGGAAGAAAAACTAATCAAAAACTGGATTTCTCATTGAAAAACACGTTTATAACTATATCAGCATGACATCGGCAACTTTAGTTGTTTTATCTAAATTTATTACTTTGTAAGATTTCATTAACATGTTCTTACAGGCCCCCCCAATGGCACAGCGATATGTCTGTGGACTTACAACGCTAGAATCCGGGTTTCGATACCCGTGGTGGGCAGAGCACAGATAGCCCATTGTGTAGCTTTGTGCTTAATTACAAACAAACAAACAAATGTTCCTACATCTTGTTCTTTCATAAATAATTGCTCAGCCATTTAGAAAAAAAAAAAGTCGTTGCCATTAATTTATATTTATTATAAAAATTCTTTGTCATTGTTCTATATTCATTATGAATATTAGAATTAGTATTTTGTATATTATCTACCCAACGCTTGTGTTTGTATGTTGTTCAATGTCCACCGGTGGGACAGCGTAAGTTTACTAACATACAACATTAAAATGCGGGGTCCGATTCCCCGCGGTGGGCACGGCAGTATTGCATTGTATTTTACTTCTTTATGAAATTCTGTTCTGAGGGCTCCCTACAAAACTTGCTCCCCCCTCAAGTCCTTAGTCCGGCCCTGGAGAGATCTATTTATACATGTTAGTAACTTCCAATCAATTCATTATGAGAATATTGAATTTACAGATGAGAGTATGTTTCGTAGCAAATACAATCGTATGCAGATAAATCAGTGTTATAGATAGGTGTGGAGTTTAATAGTATGAGACATGAGAAAATATACTTCTTACACTGCAGAACGAGTGAAAATATAGACTTGTAGAAGGCACAAAAAATAAGAATTTTTTCCAACAATGTGCAGGAACTGTAAATAATAATAAAATTACTGTCATATTATTGAGGGAAAAGGGAGACGCTAAAAAAAAACTATTTTGTCCAAAAGTTAAATATTATTACAGGTATCATTTCTGGGAAGTTTAAAACTTTATACAAAGAATACTAAATCTGCCTTTAACAGTTCTGTGTCTTCTTAATGCTTTACTTATTACGACGTTTTGTGATGCAGACAGTCATGAATTTTCAACAAACATAAACACTCCACGCTGAAATAAGAAAGACGTGACGAAGTATACGTAATCCTGCACTTTCATACGCATATAATAAGACAAGTGAAACAACGCGCATGAGAACGAAGCTCTAAACGTCGTTCATTCGGTCTTTTCGTTCCCATCTTTTTATGGGTTGGTAAAATGGTAGATAAAAAATATTTTCTTCGAGGTTTTGTACAACACGTATTCTATACTACAGGCAACCAAAGTGTTGATATTTTGGTTTTAAACGTAATTGAAATGGTATGTTTTTTTTAATCGTACTTATCACAAATTTCAAGACAAGCAAAAGCTAGCTTCAAATAACCACCTTTTACGTACAGATAATACATAAATAATGATCATACTTAACAAAGCATGAGTGAAACATACAAAGTCGAACTGATTAGGTGAAGTTTGCAATCATATTATTTACAACTACATAATAACCAACATGTATAAAATCTTAACGAATTTGGTTGATCGTTTTAAACTACGATTTCGTGAATCAGATTTTCTACCGAGAAATTAGGCTTAACAATGAACAGTGTATATGAATATATATATTTTTTTTATTTATCTAAGAAGGTGTAACGGGTTTTGCCAAGCTTGTTTCAGGACAAGGTTTGATCCAGTCCTGCGCTAGCAGAGCGAAATGTGGTCTCCAAAAACAAAAAACTGAAACACGTGGATGACGTACACTGAACTTATAAAGATGAATCACATCTTCCACCTATAGCTTCTGTAAAACAAAATCCGATTATTTTATAATGAGAAGAATAAAACACAAAATATGTTAAAATTAAATACTCAAGGTAGGGAAATTTATAATAAGATTACAAGGGAAATTCATACATAAGACCAGGGCCGGATTAAGGTTTAGTGAGGTCCTAGGCCCAGGTAATAAAAGGGAATAATAATAACAATGATAATAAAAACCCATTCTTGCCTCTATTCTGCTTATTTTACGAACCGTAATTTTATTACTTGGGTGGTCGGCGGGAACCATGTATGGCCGGGGCCCTAGGTGGCTTATGCGTTAATCTGGTACTGCATGACAGTTAAGTATAGAGAAATAAATTCCTATTTAACATTATCGTTTTTTTTAAATCCGTTATATCACGTTATGTAGAGAACAAATTAAACACGGGTAGCAAAGTTTAGAAGAAAAAAAAAAAAGACAGCAAACGCGAGTCTACAAACAAACAAAATTCACAAATATAGCGGTTATATTTGTATTTCTCTTACTGGACAGCTAACTTTACTGTGGTGATTTCAGTGGCTTTCCTAATACTTCGCACAGAGCAAGGGCAGGAAAAATAATGTCATAACGCTCTTTCAAGTCAGACTGAGGGTCTTAGTGCGGTATCCCATAATCCTTAACTTACCCACGTCAAATATTATTCCAAATGTTTGCTTGTTTGTTTTAGAGTAAAGAAACGTTGGGCTATCTGCTTTGTCCAATGGGAAGAATCGGACCCTATATTTTAGCATTGTAAGTCCGTAGGCTTACCGCTATCCAACCAGGGATTATTCTAAATAATATACAAAAGAAAGATAACCTCCAATGTATACAAGCATGGTTACCAGTTACACTTAGAAACTTTGGAATTGGGCTTGTTCATTCTCGTTGTCGCTTGTAATTTTGTTTGGTTGCTTTTTATTATATTTTAGGCTTGTTTGTGGTCCTAGTTACTTATGATGAAAATTGAAAACAATGCAAAAGTTCAAGGCCAATTAAATATTATTTATTCAGTTAAGCAAAACCTAAACACATTTTAATTTATGTTCCTGATTGCACTTTATTCCCATCCCTATCCCCTGGTAGCTCAACGGTAACTTTACGTACTTACATTGCGATTTTCTCAAATTCCTCGCATTGAACAGAACACCGATATCTCATTATATAGCTTTGTGTTAAAGCAAAGAAACAAATTCCCATCCCATTACTTTTATTTCCACAATAGATTGATTGGTTTTTATACCAGCCAGTGAACACTTTCCTTTTTAAGCAAGGACCAGTCAATTAATGACTCCCACTCAATTTGCGAATGCGCCGAATCTGCCCAGTAACAATAACTTCGCAATGATCTGGGTAGAACTTCGAGAAAAAAATCCGTATTACATTTTATACGGGAGTATTTACCGTGTGAAGATCTGTGAGCTCAACAACTGTTGTATCTGTCATATCCAAGCCGGCCTAATGAGCCCAATATTAAGTGAAAGGCCTCGTCGGCACTGGATATAGTAGATATAGGTGGTTAACATACTACATACTTTTCTATAATAAATAGTTTTCAGGAGGGATTCTCACTTAAAACATAATTTAAGTATAATTGTAGATTTGAGGTTATTTTTATGCTTTGCCCAGTAATTTTAGTGTCGTGTTTGCTTTTTTATTTAATATTTTACAAACCCTAGAATAATTTAATTATTCATAGATTAATAACATATGACTGAATTAAGGTAATGTTCACGTGACCACAAATGAAGCATGGGGGAAAGATGATTTGATTTTTGGGCTTACTTTCAAAGTCTGGGTTGCTTATTTGCTGACAGACATCTGGCAACCCTGTATACAAATATCTATGTCAACCCTTAAGATGGGCTTGATCTGTTCCATGGAGTGTGCACAGACCCGGGTCAAACTGGTGCAAGCTTCCCCGAGATAGCTGTATGCAAGGTTTACCCAAGCAAAAGTATTAGTACATATTTACGACCTTTCAACATCAGTCTACATGGGTGTTATTAACTACGTGCAGAACACGAAAATTTAGAAAAATTACTTGAATATATTTTACTACAGATATAAATCTGTTATGGAAAAGTACATTTAGTAATGTTTGAATTTCGTTTCAATTACCAATATTTGATAGGTACTAAGCCTACAGAACATTTTCTCCGGTATGTTGCTTACTGAAATGAAAGTGATTTATTTTGAATTTTGAGCAAAGCTACACGAAAACTATCTGCACCAGCCATCCCTAATTTAGCAACATGACTAGAGGGAAGGTCCTAACCATCTGGTTATGTTTTTTTCAAGTGTCCTGTATTATTCCCCACAATCCAACCAAGTTGTTTGTTTTCCGATTCATCTCCACAGTTTATATACAAGACTATGCAGCCTTAATAATATTCATATTGTGTTGGCCAAGCCATGGATGCGAGTGTTCCAATGGCCTCTTTTTAGTTCTTCTAGGCACAGCTTCCCAACATTTATTGTTCCTTTGGGAATGGCATGATGGATGAACATTACCCTATGCCCATCAGCAGTTAAGGTGCCATCACTTTTGTGTAGATTTCCAATACCATTGACTTAGATTTGGCTCACACTTCAATTGGTCCTACAGCATGCTTCACTGTAGATGTATGTTGACCCTGATACATTTCTCCCATTTACCATCAAATAAATAATTGACCGTTGCAAGATAATTTCAATTCCTATGTAAAAATGTACCATCATCCAGCTTTGCTCATCCCAGTTAGAAGTCTGATGCCAATTCGCGCTACTGTGTATTGCACTATTCTGGTGGTAACTTTCTAATCTGTACTTACATCTAGTTCAATTAAAGATCTCTACTTGCTTGTCATGTACCACACAAAGAGCATGTCCCAAGTTACTTAACAGGATCAGTTTAGGCTTTCTACCTCAACTACTTGTGTTAACAATAGTAGTAGTTTCATGTACCCTTCTCAGAATTTCTATACATCAACTGAAACAAAATTTTGCCATAATATGTTGCATGGAGTATCCTTCACCAGCCAAATATTTAATACTTACATGTCTGTGACGTGGCATTTCTGCTCTGCGAGCCATGAAATGAATACATCACCACACTACCACTTGGTACAGTATTTTTATAGAAATTATGCTAGTGTAGCATTGTCTGATTGGTTGAATAGCAGCCAATCACAGTATAAACTATCAAACCTTGAATATATATCAGGTACAGTTTATTTTCATACAATAGAGGGGAACAATCCCATTATTTTTACATTTATACACAATTTATTCACTATTTCCACAATTATTTCCAATACTATATATTTTGAAGTTTAGTATGAAACTGTGTTTGGCTTTAAATGAAGACAGATCCAATATGAAAATAAAGAGTCTGAAAAACCAGAATTAAAAAGGGTGATTTATTACAAATGCAGTATTTACTTAACACCAATAACAAATCAAACACCAAATTAAGTTTTCTGGAATGTATTAGAATTCAGATGGCAGCATTAGCTATGGTAATTTTTTTTTTACTGAGAGCCAGTTGAAAAAAGGGCCAGTAATCCACCAGCTGTACCAACAGATATGATATAATTACTTAGTAAATGTTAAGGAGTTTGTTTCCAGGAAAAACCTCGATAAAACAGATCACTCTTACAGAGTATCTTAAATAACAACAAGTTAGATATTCTAAATAAAAAAAATAAATTTACAATGTGACAAACACACTACCACACAAAAGTTACATTAATTTTCACCAGTCAAGCCCAAAATTCACCAAAATGTGTTATCATACCATAGGTGTAATATCAGTATTTATATCCATACATCATTGATACCTGTAACTCTTTTGGCTACAGCTTCTATAAAATATCTATAAGCTGAGATTTACTTACTACTAAATAAAATAATTTAAGCAGGACCATATATGCTTGAGAGCTCAACATATGGAACTATTACCACACACACACATCTATATATTACTCTTAATCACTACATAATTTAGACAACTAAAGCTGTCTTGTATTAATTTAGCATTAATGAACATACATTTAAGTGGAACAAAACATCAACATCAGTGAAGTTTTCTGTAAACTAGAAGATTCTCCCAGCTTCTACTGCATAACATTATTTGGAAAAAATACTTTTTTTACTAGAAGTTCCATTATTTTGTTTTATAAAAACGAAGTTCTATGTGTGTGTGTGTTCTTTGTCTGCAGTTCTACATTCAAGTTGTATCTCACAATAAAATTTGTTAGTAAAGATTTTTGTTTTTAATTTTTTCTTCTGAAATTAACACTCTAAAAACTGGACAAAACCACAATTTTTTTCCCAAAGTATTCAAACACTTATTGTACTGTATAAACACAGAACAAAGTAAAGCTGACAACAAGAATATTTTCAAAAACATTCACAGCATTTCAGTTGTGAAGTTAGTTTTACTTTTGTGTTCGATAAACTGTATCTAGAATTTTATACTTCAATATGAGCAACTTTGAGTGGTAGAAAAATGATTTATATTAAACCACACAATTATAGCAGTGTCTGACATTTTCTTTCACAAACTATGCTGGTATATAAATATTTCAATGTTTACATAGTGTTGTCTAACAAGTTTTCATTCACAAACTATGCTGGTGTATAAATATTTACATAGTGTTTTCTAACAAGTTTTCATTCACAAACTATGCTGGTATATCAATATTTTAATGTTTACTTCTTAAAGGTACCATTGTAAGAAATACAAGATAAGTAAAGATTGGGAACTTAAAAACCTGCAAATAGCGATCGTAAGACAAGTAAGGAAACACGGCTGGAGATACTGTAGACATTATTTACTCAAACAACAAATCCGTATTTTGACTCTATTGTAGGTGATTCCAGGTAACCAAAAATTTAAAAATTTAGCTTTTATGCAAATTCCATGAACAAAAATATAAATTATTAAATAATTGTCTTCTTCAAGCACACAACATTTTTTTGTTTTTGTTTTAAATAATACTGGCCCTGGGTTGAGTGGAAATCATCAATAAGCCAAATGAAACAACCGATGCAGATAATTCAAGGTATATAAAATAATTATTCATTAAACAACCAAAAGATAAAAGGATACATTCCAGGCTGGAAAGAAGATAGCACATAAAATGAGGCTATAATCACCAACATCAGGAAAAGTACATTGTTATAAAAGATTGAAAATGTTGTGGCTTCATAGTCAGCAACTTCATTTTTTTTCCACAAAATCCTAATAATAATAATAAAAACTCTTTCAACATTACAGAACATAAAACCTGACAAAAAGTGCTATGTGAAACATAACGGTAATAAACAAGCTTAAAGAAAATTTGTTGAGGAAACATTTTATCAATTAATGCTATACAGGTCTTGAAAAGAAAACCATCTTGTAAACAATGAACGTGTGAAAGTTTTAGTACTAGAGCTTCCTGGTACCTGGTACACAAATGCTCTGAGAAACTTAAGTTGTATGGTAAGAAAAAGTTTATAAACACTAAACACTGAGATCCCAGTGCTACACTTGTCCAATATATTTAGTTAGATACTAACAAAAATAAACTAGATAAAAAGTATAAATATTCTTATAAACTGTAACCATCTACATATGCTTTTTGAACTTGCACGGTGAATAGTACTAATAACCTAACGGTAATTTTACAAACGTTTTTTTTCATTACAAAAAGCAAAATAATTTTTTTTAATGTCAACTCTAACAGAGGAAGAAGTTCAACCTTTAAAAATAACAATTCAAAGGAACATTACACAAACTCTGTTTAAGATAATTTTTATCTGTTAATAGAAAAATGGGGAATTTTTAAAATTAATATTTTTCAACATCTGTGACACTTCTCTCAATTATTAACTTTCAAGCATCTAAAACACAAAACCTAAATCCAATTAACCTTTCATCTTTTTCTTTCTTTGACATCTTCTTGTCATCAACTAGTTTTTTCATGATTTCACGAGTGACAGCTTCTTCTCTCTTTTGGGCAACTCTAAATAAAAATTAATGTATGAAATATAAACCTTTTTGATCTCTGACCTGATACTGATTGTTAGGGGCAGGGTAAATTTAAAGCCAGTATTTAAAAAACATTTTATCTCAAACACTCTGAAATCACACTGATTAACAGTCAGATTTTCTTTGATTGATGTTTGTTAATATTCAGGTATAATACAAACTACAATACCTAAAGAGAACTAAAAACAGAAGTACAAACCGAACAACCAGAAAAACACACTTTTTGACATACAGGGTATCCATAAATTATCTGACACATTTTAAAACTTAATAACTTCAAAAATATTATGGATAGAACACTATGGTTTTACTTAACTTGAAAAACTACACAAAGTTTTTTCCTTCTTTCTGTTGCAGATCCATTGTAGGAGCATTGCTGAAAAAATGAAAAAAGACACACAAAAAACAAAAAAACAAAACAAATAGCAACATCCCAGGCAAAGGCTTAGTGTGTGTGGTATGGTTTGCCAAATCCAAATCAATCGTGTCAGTGCAACAAAGTTACCAACCAACCAAGAATACCATAAAAGCTTGGTTTGAAAAATTCCTAGCAATCAGTAGTGTGTTGCAGAAAGAGAGAGCTATAAGAGAGGTATTTCTTAGAAGTACACGATGCACATGTGGAAGTATACTAAGACAATAAAAAAGCTTAACGAGTTGTTTGTCAAGTTAAATAAAACCAGCGTGTTCTATCTATAATACTTTTTGAAGTTATTAATTTTTAAAATGGGTCTGATAATTTATGGATATCCTGTATATGAAGTGGGTATTTAAAATGACTGAAATAATCTTATATCTAGAGATATGTAAAGATCCAAACATAACAGTTCTGATTATCAACCTACACCAATACCGCTAACCACAGGATAAAATCAGAAAATACAGAGACATGACAAAAAGTAGTTATATGTTCAATGTTTCAGCCAAATGACCTTCATCAAGCCTTTAAGAATGAATGTCATTTGTTTTCCTTACAGCTTAGTTTTTTTTAAAATTACCATCAACCTAACTTTAACGTAACTACTCGTACTGAATACAGTAAATTTTAATTGTATGCATATGTTTGATTATTGAGCTGGGCCTTGAAGTCTAGTGATTGTGGTGATAGACTCTCAATCTGAGTTCGAATCCCCATTGCCAAACATGTTTGTTCTATATGGCTGCTGTATGGGCTGGCCACCTGGAAGTAAAAATTATTAGCTGACCCCAAATTAGTTGGGATTAAAGTCCTTTTCGAGAAGATTTAATTTTTGAGCTACTCCCCTAGTGTTTGACAAAATGACTTGACATTTTCCATGTAAGCTCTCGACCCCAGCAAAATATTAACAAGGATTTTTTTTAGGGGGGGGGGAGTAAAAGGAGTATTGAGGTACTCTGAAGGCTAACAAATATAATAAAATAAAGTGCAAAAATTAAAAACTTATTAGGTTAGATAAAAAAAAAACAACCACTTAACCTTATAATTATAAATCAATTAAATTCATCAATCAAGTTCATCCTCAAGCTGTAATTCAAATACAACAATTTAGGTTTAAGATACTTTTTAACCCTAAGCTACCGTACATAAAAATGTATTCTATATGTATCATAGCACAAAACCTGTAATCAACTTAAAATATGACCGATACATTTCTTGACAGTTATATGAACAACTTATTCTACAATAAATATTTTTTTATCGAATAAAGAATCTCTCTATGTAAAAGCCACTGTCTCCTGGTAACACTCGCATTGCCTTAGTAGTTAGACATCTCGTGTTCAAGTAACAGTACATTGGGGATTTTTGTTAAATAAGTGTTCATGTTCAGAGCAAGTCTTTCAATATTTGGAAAAACATGAATACCCTGATATTATAAATTAACATTGGATATCATACACAGTGTCAGAGTGTCTCGGTGATTACAGCACTTAATTGTCAAATCAGGGATTTTAGATATTAGATAACATTAAAAGATGGAACGTTACAGCACGAAGCCACCTCAACTTTTAATTTCAACTGAACACTTCTACACCATCCATGAAATAAATTCTAAACTTAGATTCTGAATAAAACCAAAAATAGCTAAGAAACAGTGCAAACAAAACAGGGCTTAGCAAGAGAAAGAAAAAGTAGATGGATAGCACAACAAAATCAAGAAAGCTCTACAACAAATAAGATAACCGAAGCAAAGGGAAAACAACTGATGCAGTCAAATGAAGCTCCTGAAGAAACAAAATGACAAATTGATGTGTTGCTGAAAGACATGCAAACAGGTCCTAACTCCCCTATGGGTCAAATGGGTACTTCCACTAGTATTGTATATAATGAATATTAACTTTGTGTATCTTTTTTAAAATTTATCTTGCAGCTTATATGAAGTTAAAGCTACAATATAATTTATACACAAGGTAAACACAAACACGAGGCATCACTGTGGATGGTAATGTAACCAACAGCCACTAGGCCACACACTCAAATTCAGGAGTTGTATAGAAGCTGAAGACATGAATTACGGCATATCGAAGTATATTAATTAATAATTAAAATATCAATTGTTCAGTTTCACTCAAGAGTTCACATTAATGCACTTTTTTTTAACATCAGGGATGGAGAAAACTGATTTGCAATGCATGCTGGGTGAATAGTTATTGAAATAGATTTGAACAAAACATCACTAATTGGAGTCTTGTAACTTTAATACAAGTGTAGTGTTAACAAATGTAGCCATCCCTGTTTCCTAACTTCAGATGTGTGATATAAATGGCTGCATCTCAGCTTGGGAAAGTCATATGCTAGTGATATAAACATGTAATGAAAGCTATTTTCTGTTCTTTTCAACTATATATGCCAATGTGTCTTCCAGTTCAGTGAAGACTCACTCAAAAATTGGATCACAGTGGTAAAAGCTTAGCATGATATGTTCTTAGAAGACACGATGTCTGTGAACAACTTTCTCCACCATTATAGTTCTGAACTTTTTTTAAAGCCCTTTATCATTTGGTACTTTGTTTGAATTAGGATGTTGCAGTATGATACGAAATGGTTGTCATGAAACAAGATGAGGTAGGCTTAATCACTTTGTTACCAAAGCTGCTATTCTTTAGGCTGTATTACATTAGGCCTAAGTAACTGCTGGAATGGGCAAAGAAAAAAATCCCTGAAAAGAAGTATAAAAATTATTTACATCAATGAATATAAAACTTAATATATATATATATATATATTAAACGAAACCTTCTGATTAACAATTCCAAAAAGTTGGGCTTGCCTACAATTTTGATATGGTCAGTTTGATTTTGCACAAAGGTAATTGAAAGCTATCTGCTCTTACCTTCTCTAACTTTTGAAGTGATAGACAAGATGGAAGGCAGCTAGTCAACTTTTGGGCTACGCTTTATCACAAATATTGAAACTGAGAGTAATATTATAAACGCCATATGGCTAAAAAAGGGAACCATGTTTCGCAATGGCCTTCAATCTTATGACGAGCACATTAACCAACAGGCCAGAACCTTTGGTACTTTGAAAAAGTAATTATTATTGTATGACAGTGATCATAAATATTAAGTGTGGTGTTTTTCAAATCAGAAAAAAGTTAAAATTCAGAGTTTTACATAGATTAAAAAAAACAAACTGAAATGTACATAGAAAATAAAAGATTTTTAATTGTTTCTTTAAAAACACCTCACAATGAAACCTTTTTGAATTTATAAAGTTGTAAATTAATACAACTTCCACTCAAGTTTCAAACTATTTCATCCAGAATTGTTTTCTTCTCTTTAATGCAACAAAACAAACAATAGAACAGAAGTGTCAAACTGATGCCCCAGGAATTTTACAGTTAAGAGATTTTAAGATCATTTTAGAGATCAGTATTGGTTATAAGAGGGTTTATTTATAAAGTCTGGAATATGGTGATATTACAAAATGGAGTAGTAAATAGTCCTTTGTTACACCTCGGAAATATAGAAAAAAAAAAGAGGTTTTGGTAGGGCTCGGGATTGGTTACTTGATTTACATGAAAATTGGCACGAACATGTAGGTAGTTATTCAAAACAATCTACTCACAGATTTTGAAATTCTTTAATTTTAACTCGCGGGGACTTTCGTGAGGCTTTCAAGAATGGCTACACATTGAAGTTACTTGAAACTTTAGAAGCACTTGTAAATGGCCATTCAAAACAAGATTGCATGATTATTTTCACAACTGTTTCTTGAGAATTTTCCCAGATAATTTAATAGTTTAATCTACTTTGAATGATATAATACCTTCTTAGCAATGAAAATACTTTGTTATATTACTTCTGAACATAAATATGTTGTTGTTTTTTTATACAAACTCTGAGTAAAGAACCTCACTTATAACCAACCAATATATTACTTCTACCAATTATAACCATTATTTTCGAAACTGTGGGGAGTACCCTCCTCCTGTGGGTATACAAAATGATGGCTGGGGGAGGTATGGCCTTTTGGTGGGAGAGCCCAAAAATAATGATGGAAAAAACGGGAGAGTTGGAGATTATATCCTCACAAAACTATCACTTTGCTCTCAAAGCTCCCTACAAGCACTTTTACATTTAAAACAATTATTAAAAACAAAGAAAACGTTGATTTTTCTGTTACAACTTGCAAAAACCATTTTAATGGGAGGTGGGAGGGCAATGGAAACTTTGCTAAGTTAGAGGGGCATCGCTAGTTAAAGTTTGGAAAACACTGACTTATAACCAACCAATATACCACACGATATAAAAATAACACATAATAACTTGACAAGAGATGCCATTAAATTGTAACCAATATATCACTTACAAGCAACCAATATACCACATGCTTACAATTTAATGGCATCTCTTGTCAAGTTATTATGTGTTATTTTTATATCGTGTGGTATATTGGTTGCTTGTAAGTGATATATTGGTTACAATTTAATGGCATCTCTTGTCAAGTTATTATGTGTTATTTTTATATCAAAATATTCTTAGATGTTTTTGAATATTTAAAAAAATAGATAAAATCTGATTAAACCACTAAAATGTTATTCTAAGCTTTGTTTACTATGAATTGGGGACATTTTATTAGTGCATAGTAATTTAGGAATTTAAATGTCATGAAAATTACTTTGGTACATAATCTAATAGTATAATTCATCTTGAAACCTTTTACTCGTCAACATACAAATTTTTACGATGGACCAAATGACAACTAACTGTGCAGTCTTTTTAAACAAATTTCCATACATGCAAAAAAATATGATGTTCTCACTTTCATATACTCACTTGTGTTTCAACACAAACTTCACGTTTTTATACGCAAAAGCTACAAGCCACGTGCTTACAAGTGTTACAACAACAAACAAAATGGCTGACTGATAAGGATCCATCTGGTGAATTCTCCAGAAAAGCCCTAAAGAACAAGAAGATTCATTGATTCCCAACATAAAAAATAATAATTAACGTATATTAAAAAAACTATAGTGCTTTTTAAACATTACAGAAAAGTATACCAGTAATTTCACGTCAGTAAAACTGAGTAAAGTGATAGAGGTCGCATAATTTACGTTCTTATGCACAGAGAGCAAATTGATTAACCATACACTTTCAAGCTATTTATTAGACCCTGAAGTATAGGTACACTTCCTAATGTCACAGCTAAAACCCTTGGAATTTATTCATTAAACAAGCATCAACCATATCAAATTCTAAACAAATTGATCACTATAACTGTATAACACCACTCGTCAAATATATTACACATCTACTTACTCAACTGCTCTCAGAATTCATTAAAACCACATTCATGTTAAGTTTTCAATTTTTTTCAGACATTTTAACAGCTTTCAGTTGCTAACAATGTTGTTAACTTCATGTGATGTATAAATAATTTACAAATACTTAATTTCCAGTCTTTATTATATTTCCATGTTTGTCCATGATTTTCAGTAAATAATAAACACAATCTAGTATATTTACACATTTGGTTAGTTCTACACGGACATACAAACTTTTTATAATCAGATATATGCTTCATAAAATAAAAGTACTTACAATCGACAGATGAGGCGTAAAATAGTTGGTTTTTAAGGGTAATTCTGTAAGCAGCCAGTTCATAGTTACCTACAACATTCATTATCACTTTCCAAAAAGTCATACAAATTTTGTAACAAAAAATGGATAATTAGGCCACACCTGCTAGTTGAGATTTAAAACAGTGGTTCCCAAACTCTTTTAGTCTAAGGCTTCTTTGATGTGAGTAAAAACGTTTGAAGCACCCCCCAACCTTTAACTTTAACACGGTCATTGAAAAACAGTGCCGTAGTAAAAACAATAACATCTCCTTTCAACATACTGTATCATAACTTTTATTGGCTTATTGTTTATTTGGAATTAAAATTAGTTCAGCATCTTTGTTTTTGGCCCCACCCCCAGAAAAAGCTTTAAGGCCACAGCTCCCACTTCGAGAAACACCAGTTTAAAATACAGTAAAACTAATATCTGATCAGACTGTGCGTTTTATTATCTATTCCCTATTGGATTTCAACCTTGTAACGTAAAGCTACAATAAAATCTTTACACTGCAGAAGAAACTGACACTATTTTACTTGGGTTACTTTAGGACTATTTGGTCAACATAGCTTTATACAAAACTTTTTTTTTTATAGTGGAAGTCTCTCTTTTATCAAAAAAAATATTATTTGGTTACACTGCTAACTTATAAAAATGATAATGTATAATATACCATCATCATCATCACTAACTATAAAAGGCTTATTCCCTTTGTCACTCTGTCAAGAACGCTTTCACACTCCTTTTTTAGTAATGCTCAACAATACACACCGACGCTTAGCAACAAAACTATCACCTGATTATTCTTAGGCCAACTATTATGTTTGTGTTGAGTGCTCAATATTCATGTTGATTTGTTAAAAAGGTTTGTTTTTTATTATTTATATTTTAATAACTTCGGTGATATAACAGCAAAATAGTTTAATTGAGAAGTTTTATGACACTGAGTTGTAGCCAAAAGCAAAATATAATTTACCAAGTAGTGTTCTACCTAAGCCTTACATTACGTTCATGTATTAAATTAGACTACAAATAGGCCTACTATTACTAACGTCATAGTCAGTGTATAAAAAGTTTTAAGTGGTAAATAACTGTTGATTAATAAATATTCTTTCGGTATTTTAACACATATATTACCTAATTGGCCTTAAAATATAAAGAAAAATAAATGTTTATTACTACCAAATATCTTTTATCTTTTGACTGTACAAAATGTGTCGAAATGTCCGCATTATATTTTCTACTTCCTGACCTAGAATACGGTGAAAAGGTTCAAGAGTGCTATTTAAGTGACTTTCAGAGTGCACACGTACTTTTGTTTAAGATAACATTTAATTTTTTTGTAAAGTTTTTTACTAAAAATGTGGTAAATTCTATAATTTTCATTAATCAACAATGGTTTTCTGTCATTTTTGATGGGCTTTTATACTAGTATATATATATATATATATATAAAACAGTAAATAAACAGAGAAATTAAATTAATAACACAATAATATTATCTGAATATACTACTAGTTACATTCATTCCCTAATGGTTTTCAAACTTTGTAAGATAAAGTTATAATTACCAAGTTTTATTTTACAAAATAAATTTTGAAGTTATTTTAATTATTTTGACTTATTTAGACTACTAAAATAATAACCGAAATAGTAGGTTTTTACTTTGGCTAAGTGCACAGTTGCCTAATATTAATAAACAAAATGGCTTGATTTTATTTTTTTCCTTTCCTGTGATTGGTTACAGTGCATTTCAGTAGCTACTTGATTAAAAACACAGCACTTACATTTCCAACAATATTGTAAACAGATTTATGTTGATATAAAACAACAGTTAATTCTCTGGAAATGTATCCACGTTACTGTTGCAACAGGTGACTGTTAAATTAAACTGTCATTGTTTCTAATCATTGAACAATACACAAACATAAAGTATAGTTTACTTTTAATTATCACTATAGTGTTCAGATTTCCTGTTTTTTAATATAAATAAACTATTTCATTGATATGTTTAACAGTAACTAAATATCTAAGATAGAATAAAAATCCAAATTCTGGCACACCAATTATAAATTGTGTTAGTAATAGAAGTTAAAGCTGCATTTCAACTCGAAGATCTCTTCTTGTAGTGACGCTGTAAAAAAAAAATTTCAAAGCTTCTAAAAACATTTTTCTTGTTATGATAGGGCAATGTAGTTCAGAAGTCACTGGAATCACCATGAGCAGAAAACTAGACACTTTTTATTTTTCCAGCTTCACACATTAGGCATATAAACTTTTGTGTTGGATACCCAACTGACACGTTAAAATTTTGAAAAGATTCTACCCCACTTGGAATTAGTATTTTGACTTGAATTTTGATATGAAAGTGTTCTTTCAACACCTTAAAGGGACCAAACCTTCATGAAGTTGCAATTTCCATGCTGTATTTAAAAGATGGTTCAGCTAAAAACAAACAAACAAACATGTATATATATTTATGTAAAGACACAATTAGATTTGTTCAGGCTTTTTCTATCACAGTTTGTACAAAAGCATATACAAGAATTATAGAATCATTTATCTAATTGTTAACACTAGAGCTTGAATTAATGCAAATAAATATATATTACAAATTTTTGGTTTATTTATTTATAACAACCTATACATACTCAATCCCATAAGTACTAAAGCATCACAATTTATTAACATATAAAATTGATTTAAAACATAGTGGCTGATAAATTCACTTGTCAAAAGTGATAGTGAAAAAAAATACGAAAAGCCACAGAAAACCCCGTGTATCAGAGAAACGGAATGACATGTAACATTCAATATTAACTGCCCCATCCAGACAAATAATGAAATATATATCGAATCTGGAGTTTGTATTTTTATATTACAGAAAACCTCTATTAAATCTGAATATTTATTGAAAGTAATGGAACGATATGCGACATGTGGTAGTTACCGACAGTCCAGAAATTTTACTATTTCTTTTATATGACTAAAAACTATAACACATCTGGAAATAAATATGATTAGAGAAGGGGTTAATTGGACTTTGATGTAATCAAATAACATACAATATATTTTATGTGGCACTTGAGCTATTGAACTGTTTCTTCTTGGTAATAATATGGTCATCCAGTTTTTACCCATTTCCCATCTTACAAAGTACATACACTTATAAGTCAAAAAATGTAATTAACTTAATTTGTATTGAAACTATTAATTAAGTTAGGGGGTTTCATTGATTTTTAAATAATGAAAAATTCACACACATTATTAAATTCCACAGTCACAAATTAGTAGATATACACTGTAAGTTCAACTATGTAGTTAATAATTAATGAAAACAAAATAAAAATTGTACCTGTAAATTGATCTTTTGCTTCATGTGACCTTCCCAGTGGAACAAAATTAACAAAATGTCAGTGATCGATATAACAAATTATTACTTTACCTAGTAACCCGATACTACGCGACATCCACGTCAAGGAAAGATAAAATGTAGTCCCAATAAAATCCATCAATTTCAAACTCGTACACATGGATTCATATTATATGTATAAATGAAATGAAAACTGTCAACAACCAAATGTTAATAACGAAGTATAAGTATATCTATGTACCTATGAAATAATTGGAGATTTCTTAATCACAATGGTTGTAAAGTTGAAATACCGTGATTGAAAGATATGAATAAGTAGTAACCTGTACGTGTTCTACGTCACGTCATGATGTAATTGATACATCGTTCATACCACTTTTATCATAAGACTATTGTAGCACACATTCTTTTGCTGTACCCACACAACGACATGATGTATAACAAGCTGTTGTCAAGACAACATAGTCTGTTTATGCCTGATGACATGGAGCAAAGCAAGTAGTTGTCAGGACAACATATAGTCTGTTTACAATCCCCACTTCACATTTTTTTTTACTTACCATAACTTTGATTTGGGCGGACACATCTATGTATTGGTTTATGCATTATGTAATCAGCACCACAAAGTTTATTATATAGCCTTGTTTCTACAAATTCAATGGCTAAAAAAAATTTTAAATGCTTTTAAAGTTTTGTTTGTGTGTTTTTAAATAGTAAGTGCTTCTGGACCCAATGAAACCAGCCAGACCAAAGTAGAGCATGAAGAAGACAGCTATATGGTGTATCACCGATCCAGTCAATTTGAACCAACACCCTGTTTTTTGGTTTTAACATTTACTCACTGATTGCTGACAAATGGTGGAGGATGGGCTTAGCGATCATTGCATATGTTTTTATTAATTTTAAAGCCGATTTACAACTAGTGGGAGTAGAGTTGCCTTGAAATTAATCATGCAAATTCAACGTATATTAGTACTGTAGACGGTTTTAATTATTTTTTTTGGGGGGGTTACAATAATTAGGATTTTGATCACATGAGATTTCTATATTCACAACTGATATTTGGCAATTACACGCTTCTATAATTCTCTGGGACCCCTATATATAAATTTAAAAATAAAAGTATTCTGTTAGTGTTAGTATTAAATTAATGCTATAAAATGCACTATTTATTATAATTTAGTTAGTAATTAAATGATAATCGAATCAAAAGAGTGCGTTACTGTCTTTGTGTTCAGTAATGTACAGCATTAATAATTACTAATAATATTATGCTATATTATTTAATACTATTGTAGTATCAGTTCAACGACTAGACCTACCACTAACAGCAAAGTACTACAGTACCAGGAGAGTTTCTATTTTAAACGCAATTTCTGTTACTGTATACATTTTGCAATTATCAACCACAAACTTAATATTTTATTTGTATCATATTTACTTACAAATAGGGATGGCAGACACAATAAATGCGTTGCCATAAAATAGAGCTGAAGACTTAGTCGAGACATTTCGACTAAAATCTTGCAATAAAAGTTCTTCTTCTTTCGTCAGAGCCTTCTTACCACCTGCCATATTCTATGAAAAGAGAGCGTTGTTGATGACGTTGCCAAAGTCTCCAGTAGGTTCGTGCGAAATTCAACAACCATGCATAACTGAGAAAAAAAAAGTCTGAGTACAATTATTTAGGAATTGTTCTAAAACCCTTGATATATATATATATATATATAT